CACATCATGGTTCTGCCATATACTTCCTGTGAGATATTGGGTAAAATAATTATCCATTCTAGTCTGTATTTTTTTATCCAATAAGGATAACAATAATAATGCAACATTTATATTTAAAGAATTAGGCATACATACATATATATATATCTTCATGTAGACACAAAAAGTGCACACAAATAAGACCTAATTTTTTATGCTGTTTTGATTCCACAGCTTCAGCACCTCACATTACAGCAGATACGTATTAGACACCCAGTATCTTGATTAAGTGTAATTGAACAACATCATGCTTTCCCTAGTCATCCTCCTTGAAAAAATCAACATCCATATTTTGCAGCCATTTTTCAGGCAAGGAGGTTGCTTCTGATTCCTGCCATCCTAGAAACAGGAACCCCACTATTGTTGAGACTATGGAGATGGATCTGGCAATCCTCAAAAGGAATCAATAGCAAGATCTTTGTCACATTCTATGGTATTTGCAATCCTCTGAATACCACTTTATAAAGTTCTCTGAGTTTCAAAACATTGAAAAAATGTTGAGCAAGTTACTTAAGATGGAAATTTAACCACATTTAAGGACTAAAGTCTATCTAAATACAGATGCACTTGTTCCAAATGACCTAAATAATACTGCCTTGAAAGAAGCTACAAATTTTAAATTCCTTAAGGATATGATAGAGAAATGTGATTAAATAATATTTTCTACATAAATAAATTTCTAAGCTATTTCTCTAAATATGAATTTAAATTTAAAAACTACATTTGAGGTTAACCAAAGAGAAAAACACCTTTTAGGGCTTTTTAACAGTGTTTGAATAGAATCCAGAAATGGAAGAATTTTACATTTTTTCATCCTATTATTCTAAAGACTGTTGAAATAAACCATGACTAGAAATGAACTAAGAACCAGAGCAAAAAAGGAAGGAAGAAGGAATTAAATGGTATTTGTAAGATTTCACTTTTCTGTGTGAGTGGACGGATTGTTTGGGAAAGGGCTGAAAGTCAAAGAGTAAAATGACAGATTGTGCAAGATTTTTTTTTTTCTATTTGTTACATTCATTGATATGGACCTGCTGATTTTAATTAGGGATTATCAGGCTATAAAAACTTGCACACATGCTGGTATTTAGAGCATTCACAAAGGACTCAGAGAATCACCCAATCACAAGAACAGGATTTGGATTCTCTAGAATTGCTATCTGATGTCTATCTACGTATGTTTTAGCTTAGCCATTATATATGTTTTAGTTTGAGCACTAAGATATAATCCTCAGATAGGATATGGTTGCTTTCTTGGAATAACAAGCCACAGCATATTACTAAGTTAGGACAGGATGAATTCAAAAGTGTTTGGATGAGCTGGGGAAGATGATAAATGATGTATTATGATTTTTAAAGCCTCATCTGGCCGACTTTGCACTTTATTTCAAACAGCTGTGGACCATTTGGAAGCCATTTTGTAGCTCAACAGAGTACTAATATTTACTGTGTGAATCACATACCTTTAAAATATTTGTCTTTCCCTGAGAGAGACAGACTGTTTCTTTCCCAAATTTAACGTTGACATAAATCAGACCCATCCTCGTAGGTTAGAAGGTTTGTGCACTTGATCCTTGCAACAGTTGTTCGTGGCCAAATACAGTCCTCTGATATCTTAGAGTTCTGCAAGCAAAGGACTTTCTTCATCCATAATTACAGGATTTGAAAGGTACTTAAGAAAGTTTTTACTGATAATTTAAAAATATTTCTCCTAAGGTAAGAATTTCCCCCACTGAAAGTGGAATTCTTACATGTGGATGTCATTCTCTTATTTTAGGTTTTCTTTGGACATTTCCATTAAATATAAAATTCAAACCGCACCCTTGTCCAATTTTAGAAGGTGGCATCAGAGAAGGCACATTCAGGGAGTATAATATTGGAGCCATTAGGTAGCTCTCAAGGTCTAGGTTCTAATTATTGCCTCAGATTTTAGTTCTGATCTGGCCTACTCCCCTTTAAACCCAATTACAGGAATATAGCTCCTGAAATTACCCCCCTTTGAATTCTCCTTCCAAACATCTGCAGCTATTCAGGAAAGAGTGGATCCATCAATGCACGTAATGCGGCATGATGAGTTGACTGTTTTCTGAAGGGGTATTTAGGCACTTAGATGATGATCCCGTGTAGCTGATCATCAATAGCCAATAGGGGGCCATTTGTACAAAACAGAGGACTCCGACTGTTAGTCAGGTATCCCGTAACAACATCGATCCCTCAGTGAAACCTGGACCACATATTCAGCCTGCAGTGCTTGGAGTTAGCCACCTTTTTCTCTTGATTGTTAATGAACACATTTCAGGAAAATTAACTCTTTGTGCAAAGTTACCTGTTAGAGCCCAACAGAGTGACAGCATCATAGTACTACACTACTGTGACTGTTACTGTAGAAACCAAATGAAAGAAAGATGAGAGATGCTTCAATAAGACCATAGGGCAATACCGTCTTATCTGCTGCTGCAATGCTACAGGCCAAAGTGTGTGATTTGCCTTTGGAAGCTAAATGAACCCCGAGTTAGCAAAATGAGAATCACTTGGTGGAGTATCCTAATAAAAACATAATATAAATGCTCAAGGTATAGAAATGTGTACCATCAAAGATGTATTTCCCAATTATTTGCTGCAAAGTTCTGAATAGGACATCTGTGGTGTAGGAGAAAAACCCTCTCAAAACAGTGTTAGGGTATTTGGATAAATGTAATATTGTCAGTTAAAGTTATTAATTTCAATTATGAATTAATTATGAATTGTGTCTGGAAGGAGAGGTTTAAGGAAAAACTATAAGCAGAAATCTCTCTCTCAAATAAAAGTAAATCAATAAAAAGCAGAACTCTGTTTTTGTCTGTGGCTGTACCAAGCATACAATAGAGATGGATCACGCTAGTTCAAAGGCATTCTCACTAATCAATATTCTTTTTTGGATTCATATGTGAATTTCCAAAAATGAATCTGAATTTTTCCTCCAATAATTTGCACAGTAAATTTAGAATACCTCTGTACTTGAATCAAGATATATTGGCATTTTACCTAAAAAAACTTAAATAGAATTTTTAACAATGCTTTAGTTTCATATTTAGTGAAGATGGCGCAACGATTATATGATAATATTATACTAATTCATAATTCCTTCCTTTAATTGACTTTTATTATACCAAAAGGCCAAATATAAAAGCCAGGGCTGCAGACCTCCCTAAAGGAGAATAATTAGCACATTCATTTCAGAGGGTCTTGTTCCAACTCTGGTGACAAAGTAACTCATTTGTTGACCTTAAGTAAAATGTTCTAATTAAAATATTCATGAGTAAATAATATTTCTCACATTTTGCATTTCACAGTTGGGCACTGAGCTGAGCTGAGCAAACCACAGCAAGCAGTAGAAATCATAAATTGACTCCTGCAGTCAACAGGCAGTTACTTTGTCTCTATCATAATTTATATGTAACTCCTCTAATTCCAAAGTCAGTTCAGTACAATCTGGGTCTGTTGTTTAGCTTAACATCACAAAATAGTGGCCAAGGCTTGTTCCCTTCTGTAAAACTCAATATGAAGAAAATGTCAAATAGTTATATCAATGAAAATATGTTACCATGCACACAATAAATGATGAAAAATATTTTGTTCTTTTGAGCTGACTTTAAAAGATCAACAAAAATATGCCGGCGCCGCGGCTCACTAGGCTAATCCTCCGCCTAGCGGCGCCGGCACACCGGGTTCTAGTCCCGGTCGGGGCGCCGGATTCTGTCCCGGTTGCCCCTCTTCCAGGCCAGCCCTCTGCTGTGGCCAGGGAGTGCAGTGGAGGATGGCCCAGGTGCTTGGGCCCTGCACCCCATGGGAGACCAGGAAAAGCACCTGGCTCCTGGCTCCTGCATCGATCAGCGCGGTGCGCCGGGCCGCAGCGCGCTGGCCCGCGGCGGCATTGAGGGGGGAACCAACGGCAAAAGGAAGACCCTTCTCTCTGTCTCTCTCTCTCACTGTCCACTCTGCCTGTTAAAAAACAAAAAATATACTACAAGAGACATTCAACAAAAATATACTCCAGAGCCTTGAAAGAATCAACTTAATGCTAGCAGACAACCATGTGTCTTCACTTTGCTAATCTTTCATTTTCAACTCTTAATGACTCCTCTGTTTAACTTAGTGCTGTGACCTTTAGCATTCAAGCAACTCATTATTCAGTCCTTTTGCTCAATTTAGGGTGATTTTACTTTCACTTTTAAAATGATTCCCTCTCAGAAATGAAAAGCTTCTGCAAACTGAAATTTATTCCAGAACATTCTTAGCTTTTCAAAATGAGGTGTTCACAGACCCATGTCATCCAGTGTTTTTGTTGGAAAGGGCATGACCAGCACAGGCCGCACTGCATGGCACACATCTGTAGTCCTCACCCACCTGAGTCCCCACTCCCCTGGCCAGTATGTCCTTGAACCACTGATTCCAGCACCTTTGAAAATAGAGCTTCACGGCTCAAAAACTCTACATGTGATGAACCTGTGAACACCATCACATTTCCCAGGATTTGCTTACTGAACATGATTTATCATTTTTGATTTCTGTTTTTGCATTTAGCATGGGAAATAATCATGTATATCAGGGTATAAATGCAGTGTGGAATCATCTGCCCATTATATAAATACAATTGCCTTATTTACTCACATGTGGTTTCCCTGGAAACCATCATCAATAGTCTCTTTCTAAGCCAACTGCCTCCACGCTCAAAGTAAACTGGATGAATCCTTTCATATACTTTATGTAAGATGTGACTATTTTACTATTAATGGTCTTCCTATTGAGTATCTTCTACCTTTCTTTAAAATCTGTTTCAGTAAGAGAAAACAATTTTTGGTGAGATGTATAGTATTATATGATATAATTGTATGTGTGTGCAATTATCATTCGGCATTGCACTTCTCTGAAAACAAAGGCATATGCACTTTCTAATTTAAGACTCTTTGTTGTTGTTTCAGGTCTATAAAAAGAAAACCGAAGCTGCAAAGAAAGAGTACCTGAAGCAACTCGCAGCATACAGAGCCAGCCTTGTATCCAAGGTAACGTGCAATTGTGTGGTATTGTGACGGATTGTGGCCATCAAGGTGCAGGCTTTGATAGTCATTGAGAAGCATAAAAGATCACTTTAGCATTTCTGCACAATCTTCTTTGTTACAAAAAAAAAAAGCAGATCCCAAACAAAGCTATATGTTTCAGAAATATTTGTGGCTCCCTAAAAGAGCAGCACAGCCTCCTCTGCACCCTTTAGAGCACACTGTCCACCCGTGGAGAGAGGGGTTGCTGGGTTACTCACAGCACCCTCTTGATCCTGAGTCCAAGGCCTGTTTCTCCATATCCCACTCCCAAATTACTCCACCCCATCCTCTTGGCCTTGACTCACGTGATGCCAACTGCTTTAAGTTGTAGCCGCATTATTAGCATCATTAGGAGGTAAACTGGCCAAAACAAAAAGGCATATCATTTTGTTTGAAAATAGAAACACCACTTACAAAATAGTTGGTGCTTTTGAGTATCTCAAACTTCAGTCCTTCCTGTTATAAATACTCAAGAGTTGACTCTATTCAGTGTCATGTCATCAAGGATACACTGCTCTTTATAGACTGCTCAGGGAGTTAACCTCAGAGAGATGAGCTGACTCAATGAGTACCCTCAAGTTCAAATCTGGATGTTACTAACATCTGTTCCCATTCGGGAAACTTCAAAATAATTATATAAATTAGTCTTTTATTGAGGAAATATAAAATGATATATTTTATATATATTCTGAATATATTGATACAGATAAAACAGAAAAAAGGACCGAATGCAAGTGTATTCTCTTGGTTTAATCCAACATCATGTTCTACTTCCGAGGCATGATGTGGAAAACTACTATTTAGGATTTAACTATATATTTTCTGCTGATGCCATTCCACATTTCTGTATAAGTATGGAATTCACAGAATGGAGGTAAAATTATAACAAAAAAGTGTAAAATGTTAGACCCACCAGCCATTAACTATGTGATATTGTTACAGATTTTAGAAAATATAGGGGGAACTTTTACAATCATTAGTTACTTTTTGAACATTTCACATACAGTTTTTTTTAAGATTTATTTTATTTATTTGAAAGACAGAGAGAGGTAGAGCAAGAGAGAGAGGAGAGAGAGAGAGAGAGAGAGAGAGAGAGATCTTCCATCCACTGATTCACTTCCCAAATGACTGCAATGGCCAGAGCTGAGCTGATCCAAAGCCAGGACCCAGAAGCTTCTTCGGGGTCTCCCATGCAGGTGCAGGAGCCCAAGGATTTGGGCCACTGTCCACTGCTTTCTCAGGCCATGGCAGAGAGCTGGATCAGAAGTGGAGCAGCCAGGACAAGAACCCATATGGGATGCCGGTGCTGCAGGCAGGGGCTTTAATCCGCTGCACCACAGCACCGGCCCCCATGTAGAGTTTTAGTTCAAGTATTTTACAACAAGAAAATCAATGACATGAACTCTCAATCTCAATACAATGACATGCAGATTGCAGAAGGCTGTGTTACTGACTCAGCCCCCAGCGTCCTCAGATTTGCTCTTAGCTGCAACTTTTCCTACTATTCAGGCTGGGAGTTGCAACCCACAGTATACAGCAATTTGTGTAAATGCTGCGAATTGCCATTTCTACATTTAAAAAACCAAGCACTTTTTTTTACAGCTTACCCTGACATTTTTTCCTCTCCTTGGCAGTAGGAATTTTCCTAGAGTTCTTGAATCTCTATTTATATACAACCATCTATTGTGAGTATACAAATGGAAGGAAATTGACAAACACCCTGTCCAGGTTAAGAAAATGACCCTCTGATGTTATACGCAAGTGGAGATTTCCTGTATCGCCTGCTGGGTACCCACAAAAAAATATACCAGCCCTACTCTTCCATAGCATATGGTAACATCTGTAAAAACCCATGTTTTGGAGTTGGCATTTGGTTTGGTGGTTAGGCCCTCATCCCACTTTCGGGTGCCTGGGTTCATTACTTGAGGTGGATTTCCAATTCTAGCTTCCTGCTAATGCATACCATGGGAGGCAGCGGTGATGGCTCAGTGGTTGGGTTCCTGCTGTCCACATGGGGTATCTGGACTGTTTCCAACTCCTAATTCTGGCCCCTCATTCATGTCAGGCATGTGAGAGTCAACCAACAGAGTGAACCAACAGATGGAAGCGCGCTCTCTCTCTCTCTCTGTCTCTCAGATAAATAATAATATTGGAAGTGCTTTAATTCCATTTCTTTTCCATTGTAATTATGATAAGGCAAATAATAGCCATTCATATTTCAATATTTTCTATACTAGATTTTTTTACTCCATTATGAATTATTTCCAGAACTATTCTAAAAGATCTAAAGTAGCAAATAGAAAATACTAAGGATATCATGGTTACAATTCCACAGAACCACCATAAGCCAGCCAGGCTCTATTATTTTTTTTCCATTCACCCATTCATGTATTCCTTTGGAAGATTTGTCTTGGATGCGTAAGCTCTGGTCTACGTACTGGACCAGGCTCGAGGATACAGTGGAGAACAGGCAAATATCTCCCACACCTACAGAACTTTTACTTTAGTTAGACGAGATTAGAAGTGACAATATGAACAAATAAACTATGAAGGTCTTTGAGAATCTAAAGTGTTCTGAAGGAAATCAAGCAAAAGTTCAGCTAGAGTGGTCTGCAAAGGTCTCCTTGAGGAGGTGACATTGGAACTGGGATCAAAGGATAGGAGCTTGCAGAGCCAAGCAGTGCCACTGGAAGTGCAAAGACTTTGAGTGGCAAAATGTGTCGTTGAGTTGAGTGGGTGGTGGCACAGTGGAGCTAAGTGAACATGGTTTGAGATGACCTGGGAAGGTGGACGGGAGTCAGATCACAATCATCTTGTGAGACATGGAAAGAACTGGAGTTTCTTCTGATCCAAAGGGCAGCCACTGAATGGGTTTCAGTGGGAACAGCAACATCCAATGTCTATACATCCGTATATAAAAAAACAGGGGCTGGCACTGTGGCTCAGTGGGTTAAGTTTCCACCTATGACACAAGTATCCCATATGAGCACTCTGCTTCCCATCTAGCTTCCTGCTAATGTCCTTGGAAAATCAGCAGAAGATGGCCCAAGTGGGAGACCTGGATGGATTTCTGGGCTCCTGGCTTTGACATAGCCCAGCCCCAGCTATTGCAGCCATTTTGGGAGTAAACCAGTGGATGGAAGATTCTCTCTCTCTCTTTCTCTCTCTCTCTCTCTCCTTCTTCTCCCAATCCTTTTTCCCCTCTCCCTCCATCTCCCTCTTCCTATAACTCTGACTTTCAAATGAATAAATAAATCTGTTTAAAATATATGATTATATATTTTTAAATGAAAAGGAATTGCTTTTATTATTTATTTGAGAGGCAGAGAGAGAGAAAGAGAGAGAGAGAAACACTGCCATCCACTGGTTCACTCCCCAAATGATTCAGTGGCAGGTTGGCCAAAACCAGGAGCCTAGAATTCAATCCCAATCTAACCATGTAGACGAAGGGGTCCAATTACTTAAGCTGCCACCACTACTTCCCAGGGCCTATATTACCAGAAAGCTGGAGCCAGGAGCCAAGTTGAATATTGAACACAAGCACACCAATGTGGGATGTGAACATCCTAGTCAGTGTCAAATACTAGGCCAAAAGCTGACCCATGGATTTATATTTGAAAGATCACTTTAAGTTCATGAGTTCCCTTAATGTTCATGCCTTATCCCTTGAAGTGGACTTGATTATGAAAATTTCACTGAAACCTGCAGGTAACCAGTGACCAAGGCAAGGTTGGCCTCCACTGTTTTCAGACCTTCTTCTGGGCTATGCTGCTTATGCATCTAGCAGTACATTTACCTATAGCCCTAAAACATCCACTGCCCCATAGTCATGGCATAGCATTGACATTTATTCTCTCTTCCAAGGTCATTTTTGTCCATGAGAAACAGAGCCAGAGCACCATATCCATTTTCTTAAGTTCCTACCGGCACCTTTGATTTATACCTCCAGGGCAACATATTATGGTACTTATTTTCCATGCAGCGCATTCATTTCACCAAATAAGGCTTTTTGCTCCTGGGCCAATAGATCCTCTCGCTGCTTCCACTCCAGGAGGTGCTCTGCATCCAGTCCAGGGCTGCAAAACACCTGTTCCTTGTCAAGCTCAGGGCTAGGTGCTGAGAGACAAAGATGAATATGACAGCTGCAAGTGGACATTTTTCATGATACTTGAAATTGTTTGAAGCTATACTCTAAAATTAGCTGCTTCTTCAGAACATAATCAAAAATAGAAATAGCCAGTGACCACTGACTCTATCTATGAAACTGAGTCATAGGATTATTAATGCTTCTCTCCTTTCAGTTATTACTTCTGTCATTTAAATGTACGCTATCCAGCATGTCCTTAACATGACTCCAGGCTTGATTACAATTAGAATTTACCCAAAATGTAAAAAACAAAAAGTCCTAAGTGAAAAGTAAATCCCAACCTTTGTGCTTCAAAATGACCATACTTGCACATTCTCAGCTGGATATTAATATTTTTCTAAAAGTAACACAAATACAAATTGCATCTTGCTAGTGAACAGCTTCAAGGTGCCAGGCACCATGCCAGACATTTTATATCAATTCCTCCCATCATCATCCCAACAGTAGGCTGTAGGCCCATTTCTAGATACCTACCACCAGAGGCTGACCAGAGCCCTTTAGAATTTGGACCTGCAAAGTGTTTGGAAATCACTGCTGTGCGTCAGGTTGTGACAGTTAGGCAGGTGCTTCCCTGGTCTCATAGAACCAGTACCAGATTTCCCAGCACCAGCCATTCTCTGTCATAAGAGCATAGCAGCATTGCAAGACGCTCCAGGAGGAGCTGTGAGTGTTGTAAGCACAGTGCTCGTCAGACCTGAGTCTTAGGTTGTATAATTTAAAGGGAATGTTGAAACAGTCCTAAGCAGCTAGAAGGTAGTAGCAATGGAGAAAGAATTTCAGATGAGAAAAAAAAAGCAGACTTAGAAACGCTCACACC